GGAAGGAAGGAAGGAAGGAAGGAAGGAAGGAAGGAAGGAAGGAAGGAAGGAAGGAAGGAAGGGAGAAAGAGAGAAAGAGAGAAAGAAAGACCAAAGTTTCACCTGCTCGGTCTTTATACAGCTGTGTAACTTTGTGCTCATTCATCGAACTTACAACCTAAGGATTTTGCTGCACTGTTACACTTCAATTAAAAAGTTTAAATAATTAGTGCTGGCACTTTACAAAAAATTATGTACTTGGAAGAAGGCACACACTTCTAATCAGAAATTCTGAAAAGAAAAAAAGTACTGGTTTCAAGAATACAAAGTATAGTAGTGATGACAGACAGTTATAAAATTTCTCCTATTTCAACCACCAAAATGAAATATTTTATCAACGGAGAATTTAAAAATGCTTAAGAGCTGGTGCAGAGATTACATTTCCTGACTAAAAGAAATCCCTCCTCCCTTCTATTTTTTTCCTGCACCGAACTGGTGCTTGTGCAAAAAATCTTGGTTGTCACCACCTTGGTGCTTTAGGGACTATTACTTGGCTATTTTCTTTTTTTTTTTTTTGTGAGGAAGATCAGCCCTGAGCTAACATCTGTGCTAATCCTCCTCTTTTTGCTGAGGAAGACCAGCTCTGAGCTAACATCTATGGCCAATCCTCCTCCTTTTTTTCCCCCAAAGCCCCAGTAGATAGTTGTATGTCACAGTTGCACATCCTTCTAGTTGTTGTATGTGGGACACGGCCTCAGCATGGCCGGAGAAGCAGTGCCTCCGTGCACGCCCGCAATCTGAACCCGGGCCGCCAGTGGCGGAGCATGCGCACTTAACCACTAAGCCACAGGGCCGGCCCGGCTATTTTCTTTTTTTTCCCCCTTTTTCTTTTTGTGAAGAAGATCAGCCCTGAGCTAACATCCATGTCAATCCTCCTCTTTTTCTGCTGAGGAAGACCGGCCCTGAGCTAACATCTATTGCCAATCCTCCTCCTTTTTTCCCCTAAAGCCCCAGTAGATAGTTGTATGTTGTAGTTGCACATCCCTCTAGTTGCTGTATGTGAGACGCCGCCTCAGCATGGCCCGACAAGCGGTGCGTCGGTGTGCGCCTGGGATCCGAACCCGGCCCACAAGTAGCAGAGCGCGTGCACTTAACCGCTAAGCCACGGGGCCAGCCCTTTGGCTATTTTCTAATGACACCTGTTTCCCTTTAAATACCAGTCAACAGTTTGATTCACATAGGAGTAAAAATCCATCTGAAGTGAGCATTTACCAGAATTCCAAGTCTCACAGTACCTAGCCTCATGGTCTGAAGAAAGCTATTCTCCTGACATTGCAGTCAACTTACGCCTTTGTCAAAAGTACTATAATAATACAAGCAAAAGAAAGCTTGGTTGTACTTCTCAAATAATTAACCAAAACATCCCAATACATTTGCTCCATTAATAAGTTACTGAAATTTAACAATCTCTCCCCCAACCAGAAAGTTATCAAAATTCCCACTCCTCTAGTACTAAAACAGAGTGATAACTAATCAGCAGATTCACTAACCAAACCTAATCTCAAGTTCTGAGATCTCGAGCAAACTGCTTTTGGGCAATTTAACTTTCCCAGACCTCACATCTTTTGGTGTAAAATGAGGAACCCTAGAATGATCCCACATTCTATAGAAAGTTGTGTCCTAATGTTATTCTGTGTAGACAGGTATTCCTGTTTGGGTAGAGAGAAAAGCCTGGAAGCCCAAAGTTGAAGAGGTTTCATTTCTGTGGGATTCATCCTGGCTGAGAGATTAGGGAGGAAGGAGGGTCTATGGGAAAAGTGAGGGGGAGGACTGTGAGAGGCAAGGATGAGATCAGAGGCTGAAGGGTTGGTTCTATGAGAAAACAGGAGAGAAGATCTCAAGAACCTAGGGGAAGAACCCCAGGACGGGATGGGGTGGGCGTGGAGGGAGGAGGGGGCACTGGGGCACCTCAGGGGCCAAGAATGGTAAAGGGATTCTGTGGCAAGTCGGAGGATGCTGCTGAAGGCAGTGGGCTAGGTATGATACCATGGAAAGGGGGACTCTGTAAGAAGATAGGAGGAGTAGGGGAAGGGATCCTGGGGGGAAAAGGCCTCTGTGGGAAGACCTGAGAGGAGATAACGAGAGAGGAGGTTGGTGATCCACAGAGCCAAAAATGGGATCCTGGCAGGAGGAGTCTGTGGGAAGACCTGGGTCTCTGGAAGATGGGAGCGAGCGAACCCCATGGCCAGCGACCTGACTTACTTTCTCCGCTGGACTTGCACTGCCTTGAACACATCTTCCCGTTTCAGCACCACGAAGTCGCCGTCGCGGATGCGATGGTCCCCGGGATGCGGTGGCTGTAGGCCCGGCTGCTCCCCTGAGCCCTCCATGACGCTCAGCCAGTCTCGCTGCTCCGCAGCGTCTCTCCAGTCCCCAGTGCCCTGCCCCTCGTCCTCCGCTGTCACCACCGCCAGCCTCACCTTCTACAAACCGAGGGGACGCAGATCCCTCCGACCGGCACCGCCCCCACGTGCTACGCGCTGCTTCCGCTTTCCGGTCGGAACCTCTGGGCAGCTTCCGGTAGCCTCACGGCTTCCGTCTGGCCGAACTCCTTGATTGGCTGGGCTCCGTCCTGCCCCTCACGTCTTGCAGCTCCTTGGACGGAAGTTGCGTCACAGGAGCGCCGAAAAAGAACTGGGAAGGAGAGTGAACTTCAGCTGGAGGCGTGCGATGTCTTCTAGCCAACCTTCGCAGCCTCGGTGGGGAAGCTGAGGCCCCGAGCCTCTCCGACAGATGAGACTCGGCCTTGCGCGGGGACGTCAGGAGAACTGTGGCTAAGGAGAACCGCGGGACTTGGGCAGGGGTTACCTGAGGAGCCCGGACCTCGGAGACTCCTCTCGGCCTCCCCGGAGGAAGGGAGAGCGGGCCGGGCGGATCTGCTCCTACCCGGGAGCCGGCCCAGCGGTGAGCTAGGAGAGCTTTGGGACCTCTGTGCTTTGCAAGTAAGAACTTAGCCTGAGGAGACGCAAATGAAGTAGGGTATTTAACGAAGCACAGCAGGCGGACGGGTGGCTCCTTTACTCATTCTCCAGTCCTACCTCTTGCATTTGTGTTGGAATTTTTACTAGTTATTCTCACCATATTATCTCGTTTGAGAAATATAGGGCACATAGCGTTGTCGAAGGGGCGCTTTAGCTGAGGAGTCTGAAGACGGAGTTTTGAACACAGTACTGTCACGGAACAGCTTTGATGTTCATCAGTTCGCTTAATTTCTCTGGGCTTCTGTTTCTTAATGTATGATGTGGTCTAGATGATTATCAAAGTCCTGTCGTGCCCTAACATTGTGAACTTTAGTTATTAACTTATTTATTAATTAAATCCCTTTAAAGATGGATATGCTGTCTTGTAATGAATTGCACTACAGTGTACGGATATATTCTTATTTATTTTTATCCTTAGGACATGAACTATTTTCTTAGATAGACTTATTTTTTAGAACAGTCTTAGGTTTACAGAAAGTAGGGAGAGTTCCCAGGTATTTCCTCTTCACTCTCCCCACCTCCAGTTCCTCTGATTGTTAGCATTCTGCGTTAGTGTGATACATTTGTTGCAATTGATGGACCAAAATCGATACATTGTTATTAGCTAAAGTCCATAGTTTACGTTAGGGTTCACTCTGTTGTACAGTTCACTGGGTTTTGACAAATGCATAATGTTATATATCAGTATCATACGGCATGGTTTCACTGCCTTAAAAATGCCCTGTGCTCCACCTATAGGAATTATTTTAAAACCCATTTTTTATAAATTTTTTTTAATCATTTTATTTATTTAGTTTTTCCCCCAAAGCCCCAGTAGATAGTTGTATGTCATAGCTGCACATCCTTCTAGTTGCTGCATGTGGGACACGGCCTCAGCATGGCCGGAGAAGCAGTGCGTTGGTGCGCGCCCGGGAACTAAACCCAGGCTGCCAGCAGCGGAGTGCGCGCACTTAACCACTAAGCCACAGGGCCGGACCTAAAGCCCATTTTTTAAAGGTCACTTATATTTCAATTTATTGCTACTCAGCCAGGAACTATCTTTATGGGATTGAGTTTAATAAAAATTAGTATCTTGGTATGTACAAAATAAAAAAAAAATGAGAAGGGCTAATTAACAAAAAAAAGATTATCATTATATTAACAAACATGGATATGCTTTCAAAAAACCTTTACTGCATTTAAACAAATTTATCTAAAAATTGCAAATAATCTGTCTAATCAGTATTCACCTAGAAATGATCTTTCTTCGATAATCTTTTTGTGTGTGTGTGTGAGGAAGATTAGCCCTGAGCTAACATCCATGCTAATCCTCTTTTTGCTGAGGAAGACCGGCTCTGAGCTAACATCTATTGCCAATCCTCCTCCTTTTTTTTCCCCCAAAGCCCCAGTAGATAGTTGCATGTCATAGTTGCAACATCCTTCTAGTTGCTGTATGTGGGACGAGGCCTCAGCATGACTGGAGAAGTGGTGCGTCGGTGCGCGCCTGGGACTGAACCCTAGGCCGCCACTTAACCGCTAAGCCGCGGGGCCAGCCCCTTCCATTATCTTTTTAAGACAGTAGTTGTAAATCTACTGGAAAAGCAACTTTCTCATTTTTGGCCCTACAGAGAAAGAAAGATAAGTTGAAACAGATAATGTACACTGTCCCACTCCAGTGTTTCCCCAGAAGGGTCCACCGTAGATGCCTATGTAAGAATTTCCATGTATCTCTGATAAAAGTGGATATGGCACTGCAGAATTGACTGTATATAAAGAGCTATTGACTGTATATAAAGATGTATTCCTAGTGTCTCACAGGTCAGGATTATGTTCAACAAGTGCTGCCCTATAATAAGTCTCAAAACATTGCTAACAATTTATTTTAGAAGTAATCACTTGTCTTATTTTCATTTCTATTGTGGGAGCTCCTTGAAAATAAGCACAATACCTTTTCTTATTTTTTATAAGCATCTGGTATATTTTTATTGAGCATCCAGTATACTTGGTTAAACATCTATGGTATACCTTAAAAGAGATGGGATTTAGAAGCATAACTGCAGTTTGTAAGAGTAACTGAGGCTTATACCATGGTGTACAATGTTGCACACCTGTTTGCTAGTCTCAAACTAGAAAATATTGATTTTTGCTATTTACTATGTTAATACAGTAGTCTCCCCTTATCCGCAGGGGATATATTCCAAGACCCGCAGTGGATGCCTGAAACCATGGATAGTACCAAAGCTGTATATACTGTATTTTTTCCTATACATACATACCTATGATAAAGTTTAATTTTATAAATTAGGCACAGTAAGAGATTAAGAACAATAACTAATAGAATAGTTATAACAATACACTGTAATAAAAATTATGTGAATGTGGTCTCTCTCAAAATATTTTATTGTACTGTACTCTCTTTCTTGTGATGATGTGAGGTGATAAAATGCCTATGTGGTGAGATGAAGTGAGGTGAATGACATAGGGGTTGTGACGTAGCATCAGGCTACTACTGACCTTCTGATGATATGTCAAAGGGAGGACCATCTGCTTCTGGACTGAGGTTGACTGTGGGTAACTGAAACCACGGATAAGGGGGGACTACATTTTTAGGAGCACTATTTCCCCTCTAGTTTGTTTTTTCTTTTTCTTTTTGGTGAGGAAAATTGTCACTGAGCTAACATCTGTGCCAATCTCCCTCTATTTTGTATGTGGGATGCCACCACAGCATTGCTTGATGAGCGGTGTGTAGGTCTGCACCCGGGATCCCAACCCACGAACCCTGGGCCTTTGAAGTGTAGCATGCGAACTGACCACTACGCCACTGGGCCAGCCCCTCTGATAGTTTTGATGAAGACTTTTTCAATCTCTATCTTTTAGAAGACATGAGTGGAGAGTATAGAGGCAGAGGATTTGGACGAGGAAGATTTCAAAACTGGAAAAGAGGAAGAGGTGGTGGGACTTTCTCAGGAAAATGGAGACAAAGAGAACACAGAACTGACCTGAGTAAAACCACAGGAAAACATACTTCTGGTAGGAAAGGTCAACAGTTGTTCAGTTCTTTTTCCTTCGTGAAGGAATCTATCATGCCTGTCATACATAGCAGTTTAACTCATATTTCAGCCTTTTATTTTACACTACCCCTTAAGGTAGTATGTGAATGTTAATATCCAAAATTCATACTAAAACTTGTAATTTAGATACTGTTAGTATCGTGTCAGGTTCTTGTTTGGAAGGAGAAGCAAATTGGAAAAAAAATTTGCTCTGTTTTCTGCTAACGTATTATTCTGTCTTTTCCAGAACAAACCCCACAATCTTTGCTACTACAATCAACACTGGATCAATTTATACCATATAAAGGCTGGAAGCTTTATTTCTCTGAAGGTAGAGTTAAAAGTGCAAGAAGTACCATAATTATATTTCCTTAACTTGTCTTTGGATGCTTCATTTCATACTACTATAATTCATTTAGTTAACTGATGTATACTCTCTTCTTTAATCTTGGTTCATCCAAACAATTAAATCATGTTTATATTTCAAGAGCATTATTTTTAGGTTTTGTATCAGTCAGGAAAACAGAAACTACACTAGGTGTTTCAAAAAGGGGATTTAATACAGGGTATTGGATGTACAGATGGAAGACTAAAAGAGCAAAATGGGAACACTGAGGTAACCCCCAAGATGGTGGTAACTTTGTGAAGCAGCAACCTACTTGTATGACTGAGGGAACAAAAGTTAAGAAGTTCTGAGGTTACCAGAGCGTAGGAATTCAAAGGAGGGGCCACAGCATAGCTGTTTCTTTGAATGCTATGCTTGGACCCCTGAAGGGTACCCTTCAGAGCTGTGCTCAGACTTGTGAGGCAAGTTAAGCTGGTTGCCGCTGGTAACGCTGGTGGGAGGGTGGCACAGTTGGTGCTCAGAGCTCGAGGCTGGAACTGTTGCTATCCTCTGTAGCTGGAGAGATGCTAAAAAGAGTTAGAGACAAGAATAAATTCCTTTCTTTTTTCTGCCACCTTCCATTCTCTGAAGTGCTTCCAATCAGTAGAGCCTAAAGCGAGTCTAGGAAATGCAGCGTGCAGATCTTGACCATAGGATTGCAGAGCAGAAAGTAGAAGGGTGGGCCTGGAGCCGGGAGACAATAACAACACAGGTTTGTATAGGAAACGGTTAAAGAATCCCCCTTTTACAGTCAAAAACACCAGCTAACGTTATACATCTGTCTGTATAGGTTTGGAGAATTGTCTTTTCTGTGCTCTTATGGTATCCATATGCTTGTTACGTCTCTTATTAGGTAGAGGACATATTTATGTATCTGTGTTTTTTCCCCACTAGACTGTGCACTGCTTGAGGGCAAGGATCTTGCCCCATAACAGACACTCAGTATTCCTTTTGTGAATGAATAAAGTGCTTTACAAATATTTTCTGTATTGAGAGTCTTTTTTTTTTTTTCCTATTATAGAAACAGGTATATTTCATAGGTGATGTGTCTTTTGTTGCTTTAGAATGCATTAGCCACCAGCACCCACAGTATTTCCCCAGCAGTTAGCTCAGAACACTAGAAGTGATCTTTGGACTGGTCCTAAAAATGGAGTTCAGGAGGTGCTTTCGCTGTACTTCCAAACTACTACATTGTACTGTCTCTCTGTGGGAGGCAAATTCAAAAATGTTATAGAACTTCAGAGTGTAAAAGATATTATTAAAATTTAGAGACCAGAGTCAAGTGTTGGTCTGTCTTTCCCCAGATCTCAGAAAGGGATTTGACAAGTGGCGTTTTGAACTATTAGAATTTATTGCGATGGCAAAGACTGATTGTCTTCAACTCTGTTTCAGAGTAAGAGTTTAGTTCATGTGTCTAGCTTTGGCTTTATTATAATTTTTGTTTTAAGCTTATCATGTAAGCTGTTTGAACTAATAGGTCCTATTAGGTGTTAAAGGTTCAGTACCAAGATTTCCAGATCTTGGTGCTTTTAGAGACACTTCCTGTCTGCATTTTAGTTTATGCAGACCTAAATTTGTTTTAGGATCTTAAGTATACATTCTATACCAATTCTTATCTAAATGTAATTAGAATGCAAAGCAATTGGAAAAAGTCACCTACCATGTATATAGTGTTTCTTCTGTCTCATGAAAAACATGCTTGTACATGTGTGATTATTAGTGCTAATGCCATGTTTGTTGGACTAGTTTACAGCGATAACTCTCCTTTTATTGAGAAGATTCAAGCATTTGAAAATTTTTTCACAAGGCGTATTGATTTATATGATAAGGTAAGATTCCTGTACAACAAAGGTACTTGTCCACCTTTGTGTGTCGTCTTATTGAATGATGTATTTGAAGTGCTAGTGATTGTGATCATAGACACTGGAGCCAGACTGCCTTGGTACAGATCCCAGCTCTGCCACTTACCTGCAGGGTGGACTTTGGTGAATTACATACCTTCTTTGTGCCTCGATTTTCTCATCTGTCAGCTGGTGATAATAGTATTAACCTACCACCAAGGGATGTTAAGAGGCAGAAATAAGTTAATATATTTTAAATATTAGAACTGTGCTTGGCACAAAACTTATAGAACTTATCACCTTATAAACATGCTTTCTCAAAGTGTGTAATTGAATGCTCAGTTATGATACTTGACTCTGAAAAAGCAGTCATTGTTTTCATACCTTAATATTTTATAGGATGAAATAGAAAGAAAGGGAAGTATTTTGGTGGATTTTAAAGAACTGACAAAAGACGACAAAATAGCTAAATTGATACCAAATATAGCAAATGAATTAAGGGATACACCTGAGAAAACCTTGGCTTGCATGGGTCTGGCGATACATCAGGTAAATATTTATTTTTTGTGGACTTTGGTCAAAATTTTAAAGGAAGATTTACAGTAACAGTACGTTCTCTAAAAGATACTTCATTTTTACCAAAAATCGTTGGCTAGAACTGAAAGGTTGCAATCCTGTCCTAAAAGATACCATTCGTTCTATCTACAACAGCTCACCTAAATATAACATTTATTTCTAATTTATTTGAAATAGTTTAATCTTATTAAAGATTGTGTAGAAATTAAAACATTTTCAAGGAGCTATACAATCTCATAGGGAAGGTAAGACAAAGAATCATGATGTTATCAGTTATGAACTTGGAACAGAAAGACCAACCTCAGATCTAGGTTCTGTGGCATGAGGCAAGTCACTTAATCTCTGTGAACGTCACCGTGTATAAATTGAAAATAACATTATATGCTGTGCCTGCCTGAGTTTTTCTCAGGGTCGGATGACATAATATATGGGAAAGCATTTTTTAAGCTGGCAAACAGATAAATGCTTCAGGTAAAGAGTAGTAAATCTCAGGACAGGCACAGATAAAGTGCTGGGTGTGTTCAGAAATAAAGATAAGACCCTCAGCTGTTGGGGAGAAATGGGGAAAGCTCACAGGGAGACTTTGTAAAGGCGGTGTTTACAAAGGGTCTTAAAAAGGGGTACTGAGGGTGGGACATAGAGCAGGGAGGTAAGGGTCTCCAGGCACAAGGAATAGTTCATTACAAAGATGTGTATACCGCTAGTAACCTTGAATTGGAAACCTTGGCTGTTGTCTTCAGACTCATCTCAATCATTAGTTCTTCGTATCCAAGTCACCACATCTTTTCAGTTCTATTTCTAAAATGTCCACCTCTTTTCCTTGCTTACTATCTCTGTCTTAAGCTTTCATTATCTTTCCTAAATTGTTGCTGTTCATGATAAGACATGATCTGTCCTTGGAAGCTGTGGTGACTCTTTTCTACCAAGTGAAATCCAAACCCTTTAGGTAGCATTGAAGGCTCTTCCATGATCTAGTTCAGCTTCTTCTCCTCACTACTCTCCTTCATTCACTACTGTGCAGCTAAACTGAGCTCTCTTCAGGATTCTCTACATACTCCTACCTCTTGCACATGCTGTCCATTCAGCATGGTATGCCCCTTGCCTTGCATATCCAAATTTTTTGGGCCCAACTCAATTGTCTCTCTCTGAAACCTTTCTCATGACCCCTTTTCAAAATAGTATTTTGTCTGTAAATCTTTATGGTCCTTATAACACTTAGAGCTACATATGTGCATCTCATTTTCTCTCTTAGATTGTCAGCATACTGCTTTGTACACGTAGATATTAAATATTAATGTCAAATGCCAAGGGAGTGGATATTGGGTATTTCAAAAGTCATCTTTATTTTCCTTATCTTAATCAGTGAATATAGAGAAGTAGAAAATATTTTTCACCAGAACCCATCTAGGAGGTAATAACTTTGGAGGCTACTATGAGGACTTTTAATATTAAGTTTAGTTAGGACAGAAGGTAGCAGACAGATACTGGAATTTTCCATTCCAGGGACAACAAAATCTCAGGTAAAACCTAATCCACTGTAAAATAAGTAGTCATAATTAAATATCAGAGTTTTAAAGGGCTATTAGAGTTCTGTTAATATTCTGAACTGTTTATATTCCTAACTTTATATTCATAAACTTCATATTCTCTCTATAAAAGACTTCTACTTCTAGAGGATATTTTGTTTTTCAACTTTTGAGTAAATGTCTGTCTTGTTTAGGTATTAACTAAGGACCTTGAAAGGCATGCAGCCGAATTACAAGCTCAAGAAGGGTTGTCTAGAGATGGGGAAACAATGGTAAATGTGCCACATATTCACGCAAGGTGAGGAATTTGCTGGTGTTAAAGTATTATTTAGACTTGGGCATTGGAGACTGTTTAAGAATGAGAACTTTATTTTATAAAGCCAAAGAAATCGGTAAAAAGGGTGTGAGTTTTTTTGCTATCTCATTGGTCATCACATCCAAGTGAACCTGCTGAGAATTCTTGAAAGAGATCATGACAGAAATGAACCTTTTCTCCCCAAATAAGTTGATTTCCCAACCTGCATATTTTTCTAAATGTTGATTTTGGATGTGTACTTATCAAGACTGGTGTTAAAATAATCCGTGTAACACACAAAGTGGTGTGATTATATTTTGTTAAAATTACTAGGTTTCTGTTAGACACAGAGAACAAATGGAATTTTGTTTATTTCATCTTTATTGTATCTTAAGATTTTAAATTCTCATTAGAAGAGTTGAATAAGGTAACTATGAGGGGTTTGTTTTTCTTTTCCTGAATTTATAGGAGACATTTCCTAGCAGTTCTTGAAAAAAGTTAGAAACTCAAAAGTCGCTGAATCTGTAGACCTTCTTTTTGACTTTTTTTTTCCTTTTTCTGTAGAGAACAGCCAGAGGGACAAGAAGAAAAGGGAAGATTTAGCATATTTTGTTTTTAAGAATGATTTAATTCTTGTGAAATTTCTGATATATAGGGATAATATGGTTTGAGAATTCCATAGTTGCTCCTAAAAGGAACCTGTGAAAATGCAGACAACCTCAACTTTCTGTTCATTGTAAATTCATAGATAAATATGTTCCGGTTTTTGTTTTTAGGGTATACAACTATGAGCCCCTGACGCAGCTCAAGAATGTCCGAGCAAATTACTATGGAAAATACATTGCTTTGAGAGGGACAGTGGTTCGTGTCAGTAATATAAAGCCTCTTTGTACCAAGATGGCTTTTCTTTGTGGTGCGTGTGGAGAAGTTCAGAGTTTTTCTCTTCCAGATGGAAAATATAATCTTCCCACAAAGGTGATATCATGTTCTTTAACTCCTTTATTTACCTTGCTAAAGAAGGCAAATCAATTTGGCAGTCAAAGGCAAAACATTTCCTAATGTTTCTGAACACAGGGCTTATTTTTATTTTCAGTTTTTAAATTATGATATTGAAATTGTTAAAGATTTTGTTTACCTTGGTTCAGTCATCAATTTAAATGGAGACTGCAGCCTAGAAATCAAGAGAAGACTGTGACTGGGAAGGGCAGCAATGAAAGAATTAGGAAAGATCATCAAATGTAAGAAAGTCATTAGAGACCAAGGCCAAGATTATCCACACCCAATTACTACGTATAGGTGCAAAAGCTGGACAATGAAGAAGGCTGGCAGGAAAAAAAATTGATTCATTTGAAATATGGTGTTGGAGGAGAGCTCTATGGATATTCTGGACTGTCAGAAAGATGAACAAGTGGGTCCTACAGCAAATTAACCTTGACCTATTGCTGGAGGCAAAACTGATAGAACTGAGGCTGTCCTACTTTGGGCACATCATGAGAAGGAAAGATTCTTTGGAAAAGATAATAATGCTAGGAACAGTAGAAGGCAGCAGGAAAAGAGGAAGACCAAATAGGAGATGGATTGACTCCATAAAGGAAGCTATAGGCATGAGTCTACAGTTGCTGAGTAGAGCTGTTCAGGACAGGACATTGTGAACATCACTCATTCATAGGGTCACCAGGAGTTGGAGCCAACTTGACTGCATGTAACAACAACAAAACAGAACATAAATAAATAAAACATTCCTCTACCCACCACCCAGAATTTACATTTTGCCAGCTCTAGGTATATTTTTAAAGATAAAAGCATTACTAATACAATTAGTGTCTCTTTTACAGCTTGCTTGTACCATTCCCAGGGATGATCATTATCCTGAAGTTAATGTGTATCTTTTCCATTCATATTTTTATATTTTGGCTTAATAGGTACAGACATCAAGTTTTCTTTATTCTGCTGTTTGAAAGTGTTATGTTCCTTCTTTCTTTATTAACTTTTTTTTTTTTTTTTAATGAGGAAGATCACCTCTGAGCTAACATCCATGCCAATCCTCCTCTTTTTGGCTAACATCTATTGCCAGTCCTCCTCCTTTTTTTTTTTTCCCCCCACAAAGCCCCAGTAGATAGTTGTATGTCATAGTTGCACATCCTTCTAGTTGCTGTATGTGGGATGCCGCCTCAGCATGGCCGGACAAGCAGTGCGTCGGTGCCTGCCCAGGATCTGAACCCAGGCCACCAGTAGCAGAGCGCATGCACTTAACCGCTAAGCCACGGGGCCAGACCCCTTTATAAACTTTTTTTAAATTATAGATTTAAAAAGCATTGAAAAGTGTAGAGAATAACTAACATCTGTGTACCCACCATTGAAAGTTGGCAAATATTAATATTTTGTGATTTTTAGCTTTTTTTTATCGTTTTATTTTTTATTTATTTATTTATTGGTGAGGAAGATTAGCTCTGAGCTAACATCCGTCGCCAATCCCCCTCCTTTTTGCTGAGGAAGATTGGCCCTGGGCTAACATCCACGCCCATCTTCCTCTACTTTGTATGTGGGATGCTCGCCACAGCATGGCTTGATAAGCGGTGTGTAGAGTCAGCGCCCAGGATCCGAACCTGCGAACCCCAGGCCGCCAAAGCGGAGCCTGCGAACTTAACCACTATGCCACAGGGCCAGCCCCTGATTTTAGCTTTTTTTAACAAAAAATATTAAGTATGATATTTAAAGTTGAAGTCACTCTGTTCCCCTCCCCAGTTCCATTCACTTTGTTCCATCCCTAGAGGCGTGTATTCTTCAGGTGTGCATTTTCATACTTGACTATATATGTAGGGTTGCTTTTGTTGTGTGTGTTTACATAAATGGTATGCTGAATGTAACGTTCTGCAGCTTTTTCTTCACTTGGTTATTTTGGAGTTTACCTATCTTGATACATATCTAGTTCATTTTTACTGTTGGGGAGTATTCTATTAAATGAATAGCCACTGTTTATCCATTCTCCTGGTGGACATTTGTGGTGTTTCCAGTTTTTTACAAATGACGCTGCAGAGAACGTTCTTGTATATATCTCCTTAGCAGAGGAATTTCTCAGTTATAGGGTATGCTTATTTTATTTTTTTTTGTGAGGAAGATCAGCCTTGAGCTAACATCCATGCCAGTCCTCCTCTTTTTGCTGAGGAAGATTGGCCCTGGGCTAACACCTGTGCCCATCTTTCTCCACTCTATGTGGGACACCGCCACAGCGTGGCCTGACAAGCGGTGCCTCGGTGCGCGCCCGGGATCCGAACCCCGGCCACCAGCAGCAGAGCGCATGCACTTAACTGCTACACCATGGGGCCGGCCCTGGGATATGCTTATTTTTAACTTTATTAGATGTAGCCAAATAACTTCTCAGAGTGTTGGTCCCAACTTTACACCCCTACTGGTAGTATTTTGCAATTACCATTTCCCTATATTTTCATTAACACTTGGTATTGTGTAAAGTACACTTGGTATTTTTGCCAGTCTGATGGGTAAAAAGTGATATTTCATCTTTAATATGAATTTCTATGATTTCTGTTATGGTTGAGCATCTTTTCACATCTTTATTGGCCATTCAGTTTTGTTATTGAATTTTCTATCTTCTGTTCCTCTTCATGTTTATACTCTTGATACTTCATGTGTTCTAGATGCTAATCATTGATTATATACATTACAGATATCTTCTCCCAGTCTTTGGTTTGTCTTTTAACTTTGTGGTATATTTTTTGTTGTATACTTTTACATTTTGACATGGTTAAATTGATCGGTCTTTTCCGTTATGACTTTTACATTTTATATTCTTCTTTTTTTTTTTTGTGAGGAAGATTAGCCCTGAGCTAACGTCTGTCACTAATCCTTCTCTTTTTTTTTTTTTTTCCTGCTGAGGAAGACTGGCCCTGGGCTAACATCCATGACCATCTTCCTCCATTTTATATGGGACGCCGCCACAGCATGGCTTGACAAGCAGTGCGTCGGTACGCACCCGGGATCCGAATCCCGGGCTGCTGCAGCAGAGCATGCACGCTTAACTGCTACGCCACTGGGCTGGCCCATACATTTTATATTCTGCTTAAAAAGGCCTTCTTCACTCGAGCATTATAAACGTATCTCTTCCATTTCTTTCTAATACTTTTTTTTTTTTAATTTTATTTATTTATTTATTTTTTCCCCGAAAGCCCTAGTAGATAGTTGTATGTCATAGCTGCACATCCCTCCAGTTGCCGTATGTGGGACGCAGCCTCAGCATGGCCGGAGAAGTGGTACGTCGGTGCGTGCCTGGGATCCGAACCCCGGGCCGCCAGCAGCGGAGTGCTCGCACTTAACCGCTAAGCCACCGGGCCGGCCCTCTAATACTTTTAAGTTTTTTTTTTTATATGTCGCTCTTTTGTCCCTCTGGAATTTAATTTCGTGAATGGCATAAAGCTTGGAATCTAATTTTTTTGTTTTAGGTGAAGAGCCAGTTGTCACCATTTATTAATTAAGCCCTCTATTCCTACTGACATGTAATGCTTCCTCAGTAGTACACTGTGCTCCTGTAGACATGTGAGTCTGTTTCATTTCACTGGTCCTGTACCAGGTCTAAATGATTTTATTTACATTGATCTTATTAAAATTTTTAATAAGTTGGGAGACTTGGCATGTCTATTCTTCTTTTCCAAGATTTGCCTTTATCATCCTTGAACTTTAATAAACTTAACATTTATTGAATTTTTACTGAAATTGAAATTCCTAATGCTTCCTTATCTTACAGGAAAAACAAGATGTGTTAGATTCAGCTATTGGTTCTGAATAATCAGTGGTGTTGATAAATGGGTGTCATCTACTAGTTGTCTGGGCTTATGGTTCAGGCACTGCCTTTAGCTCAGAGGCCAGAATTTAAATCTTGATTTAAATTGGATATTTTCTGTAAACAGTATTTGGTCAAGGTATTTCCATGCCCTATAACATAATGTGGACTTGTAAGATGAGTGATAGTCTAAGGAGATCTTGCATGTGCTTGAACTTCAGTGAATTGAAATGATCAGACAGGTGGTTTTTCTAGGTGATCTCTGTTCCAATCACTACTGCTGCATAACAAACTACCCTAAAACTTAGTGGCTCAAAATAACAACAATATTTTCTTACTTCTCATGGTTTCTGTGGGTTAGGAGTTTAGAAGAACTGCTTGGCTGGGTAGTTGTGGCTCTAGGTCTCTTATGGAGTTGTAGTCGATGGTGGCTGGAGTGACAGGGTTGGCTGGACATCTCTTCTCCATGTGGTCTTTCTGTGTGGGCTGGTTTTTGCTTTTTGCACATAGTATGGCAGCTGAGGACATTTGGTCTGCTCACATGGCTGCTGATAGTTTCAAGAGACAGGTCCAGCTGACAGGCAGAAATGGCTTTGCCTCTTTTGAGCTAGCCTCAGAAGTCAGGCAGCGTCACTTCTGTCACATTCTCTTGGTTACAAAGTGACACTACAAGCCTGTCCAGATTCTAGGAGGGGGAAATTAGACTCTGTCTGTTGATGGGGGAATGGCAAGTTTCTAGAAAGGCTCGTGCGGAGATATTGTTGCAACTATATTTGGAAAATATAGTCTGCCACAACCTGAATTTATAAATGCACCTTGAGGTTCAAACAGCCAACAAGTGACTTACAAAAACTTGAAGAACACAACTTACTTATGTAGCTCTCTTGTCCCTTATGTGTTGACAACTGCCTGTGGTACGATAAATATTATACTATACAAACATTGCAAAAGGAGGCTAGATGGGAAAGCTGGGGATTAAAGAGGACCTAGGAAAGCCTTTTGAAAAGGAGAGGATTTGGGCTGGGTATGTGGGACTGGATGCGAAGGGGCGTTCAAAGATCAGGAGACTGCCAGGGCACAAAGAAAGGAACAATTGCTTGGTGTGAGAGACAAGTGAGGAGCCTTGCATACCCACAGTAGAAAGAATAAGAGCAATAGTCAAGTGGGACCAGCTGAGAAAATGCCTCAAAAGCTTGTGAGGCAGAATTAATGCAGAAGGAAATAGGAAGTCATTGCAGCTCTTAGTGCATTTTACTTTAATACCCTTCTGAGACCAACTTTTAAAACAATATTAAATGAAGCATGTTATCTTGAATTTTCCTGAGATGTGATTGTAGTTTATCAAAATCTAAATGTGAATTAATCTTGTTGCAGTGTCCTGTGCCTGTATGTCGAGGGAAGTCATTTACTGCTCTCCGTAGCTCTCCTCTCACAGTTACGATGGACTGGCAGTCAATCAAGTAAGCAATCAGACTATTAAATAAAAGGCAGGTTTTAGATCTCTCTTACTGCTGAGTAAGTCTATAATATTCCTGTATTATACTGTGATTCTTTTTTTTTTTTTTTTTTTTCTGAGTAGGACTAACCCTGAGCTAACATCTGATGCCAATCCTCCCCTTTTTTCTTGAGGAAGATTGGCCCCAGGCTAACATCTGTGCCCATCTTCCTCTACTTTATATGAGACGCCGCCACAGCATTGCTTAACAAGCAGTGTGTTGGTGCACGCCCGGGATCCGAACCTGCGAACCTCAGGCCGCTGCAGTGGAGCCACGCACTTAACCGCTGTGCCACCGGGCCGGCCCTATGCTGTGATTCTTATCTGCAGACAGTGATAAAGTGTATAATAAAAGGTTTATTAAGAGTGTATGTGTTGAAATGATAATTGTCTTTATCTGAAATTTGTTCTGTATCAGAGTCCGGAAAGGATTTAATGTACAGTATTATGTCCTGTTGCTACTGAGAAATAGTTTATTTTATATATCTTTTTTTTTTTTTTTGTGAGGGAGATCAGCTCTGAGCTAACATCCATGCTAATCCTCTTTTTGCTGAGGAAGACTGGCTCTGAGCTAACATCCATTGCCAATCCTCCTTTCTTTTTTTTTCCCCCCAAAGCCCCAGTAGATAGTTGTAAGTCATAGATGCACATCCTTCTAGTTGCTGTATGTGGGATGTGGCCTCAGCATGGCCAGAGAAGCGGTGCATCGGTGTGTGCCCGGGACCCGAACCCGGGCCACCAGCAGCAGAGCGCGTGCACTTAACTGCTAAGCCACTGGGCCGGCCCCTTTATATCTCTTTTATGTGAGTCATTGAACTGGATGTAGAACATAAGCAAAGCTTCATGGTTCATTCCATAATGAGCTGTGATAGAAATAATATTGTTTTGAAGTTTTAAAATACAGAATCCCTTAGAAATGGGCGTGTTTTGGGCCGGCCCCCGTGGCGAAAGCAGTTAAGTGCGCGCGCTCCGCTGTGGCAGCCCGGGATTTGCTGGTTCGGATCCCGGGCGCGCACCGACGCACTGCTTGGCAAGCCATGCCGTGGCAGCATCCCATATAAACTGGAGGAAGATGAGCACGGATGTTAGCCCAGGGCCAGTCTTTCTCAGCAAAAAAAGAGGAGAATTGGCAGATGTTAGCACAGGGCTGATCTCACCAAAAAAAAAAAAAGAAATGGGCATGTTTCATTTCATCTTCTCGTTATCCATGAGGCATTTTACTATAGGTGTTTAAAAAAAAAAAAGCTGGGGCCGGCCCTGTGGCTTGGTGGTTAAGTGCGCGCGCTGCGATGCTGGCGGCCCGGGTTCGGATCCCGGGTGCGCATCGAGGCACCACTTCTCTGTCCATCCTGAGGCCGAGTCCCACATACAGCAACTAGAAGGGTGTGCAGCTATGACATACAACTATCTACTGGGGCTTTGGGGGCAAAAAATAAAATAAATAAAATCTTTAAAAAAAAAAAAAAAAAAAAAAGCTGGTTTTTTTGGTGTGTGTGTGAGGAAGATTAGCCCTGAGCTAATATCTGTGCCTATCTTCCTCTATTTTATTTTTAAACTTTATTTATTTGTTTTTCCCCCCAAAACCCCAGTAGATAGTTGTATGTCATAGTTGCACATCCTTCTAGTTGCTGTATGTGGGACTCGGCCTCAGCATGGCTGGAGAAGCAGTGCGTTGGTGCGCACCTGGGATCCGAACCCAGGCTGCCAGCAGCGGAGCACGCATACTTAACCGCTAAGCCACGGGGCCAGCCCGTCTTCCTCTATTTTATCTTCCTCTATTTTATATGTGGGACACCTGCTACAGCATGGCTTGATAAGCAGTACATAGGTCCGCACCTGGGATCCGAACCCCGGGCTGCCAAAGTGGAGCATGTGAACTTAACTAACCACTATGCCACCGGGCGGGCCCCTAAAAATCTAATTTTTTAAAGCAAGACGATCTTAGCATGTTGTGTCATTCTGAGACTTCTCATTGCAGTCTGCCAGTGTTTGAATGTGCATTGAGGGTGATGGTAGTGGGTAACCATGGAGCAGCGTTTGGAGTGGTGCAGGTTAGGTGGATGCTGGTGCCTGGGCATGACCTGAAAAGAATTTGGAGGCTGATCCAGATGTGTAATGAATGTATTCCAAAGTTGTTATTTTAATGTTCAATGATTATACTTACATTCATTATTTAAGTGGTTGAAGTTTTAAAGTAATACATAAATGTTTTTAAAAACTCCACCAGTATAGAAGGCCACACTTCCCACAGCTTCTTGTTGCCTTTTACATAATTTTAGATAACATTCTTAGGTCGTTTTCTTCCTTCGCTTTACTTATCCCCTCTGTGTGAGCTGAGGACATTAGAAATGTACTGGCTTTCACTTCTCCCTCTTCTACCTCTAGACTTTTCTTGGCTATGGTGTTACTTTTAAGTTGCAAGTTTTAAGTTGTCAAGATTTACCTTCTGTTTTCTAATCAGAGTTGTCTTTGTTTTATTTATAGGTCATGTCTAACAAAAACAATAAACAGCATTTACATTTTTATCATAATGTAAATATTCAACAGAGAACCAAGTAAGGTGATCAAATGCCAAGAAAAGGAAATGTGATTTATATCACTGGGTTGTTTTGTTGTTTTTTTGCCCCTTAAAGGAAAATGATCTAAGCATCAAAATCAAAATGGATTATCTTTTCTTACACTCCACTGAATTATCTCATATTTTAGTGTGCTTCCTACTTGGACTATAACTTTAGCACTTGGACTATGTTGTTTAGCACTTTTCCCACTCTTTGTAATCTTTTTATCCATGATGTTCTGAAACAGCGAGAGTACGTCTAATTGTGTCTTCATCCTCCTTGACGCGGATTGGTCCTTCTAGAGTTATCTTCAACTCTAGAATATCTGTTTTCTCTCTCTAGGCTTCCTATCAGATGCATCCATTGGATTGTTCATCTTTCTTTTAACTTTTCCTTCATCCTTTGTTTTCTTTGTGCTGTTTTCTAGATTTCTTTCTCTTGTCTCCCATCTATAAATGTTTGATTTTTGTATACATATTTTTAATTTTCCTGATCTTATACTTGTTTTCCGATAGTTCCCTTTTTATAGCAGCTTATTCTTGTTTTATGACGGTAACATATTATCAAAAACTCTAAGGCAGTTTTTTGTTTTTAATGCTCTTCTCCTTCCTGAGTTATTGCCATTTCATTCTCGAATATCTGATGAGGAATGAGAAGTTATTTGGAGCAGGTAGGGTAGGTATCCTTTGGTATTTTGTACATAAGAGTTTTTCCTTACGAGGCCTCACACCTGGATAAGAAGGTGGGGTTTTGACCATCAGATTTTGCCTCACGAATGTGTTTTTGAATTCTAGTTAAGCTCCTCAAATGCCAGAAAGAGGAGGCTTTATTCTCAAGCTCTTATATCCTCATGTCTGCCTTAGCTTTCCTCACAGAGTGGATGGTCCATTTCCTCAGAACAGTGCTCTGGTTTTTGCCGGATGGTAAAGCCTAATGGCTTTGCTGGGATGCCCTCATTCTTCCTCTACCCACCTGTCCACCCACCTTCCAAAAAAATTCTGAACAGCTATCTGTGCTTGTCGTTCAGTTGATTAACCTGTTTTCTGTTAGCCATCTACTCCCACTCTCCATTCCTGTCCGTTCCAACTTAGAAGTGTCTTTAGGCCTCTGCTGAGAACATTGGCTCCCACTTCTCTTGTACCCTTGTAACTTTTTCCTCTGTGTATTCTGGACTTAATTTTGTTTTATCTATATATACTTTCCCATTTGCTGTTTTCTAAAATTCCATTAATATCTATTGTCTGTTGGTGACACTTCTGTGTGCCCCAAAACTTCTCTTCACTCTTAGTGACTGTCATTTTGGTGGACATTTTGGAGGGAGGATAGGCAAATGCAGATGCTCATCCTGCCATCCTTAATTGGAAACTGCTGAAGTAATTTTAGATACGTTGTTGAACTTTTTTTTTTTTTTTTTTTTACTTATCTGCCCTTTATCTAGCTCAGCACCATGTGGACCCTGAATAGTTAATATGTTGAAAAAATAACCCAAAGTCATTATATGTACTGATTGAAAACTGTTTAACTTTTTAGGATCCAGGAGCTGATGTCTGATGATCAGCGAGAAGCGGGTCGGATTCCACGAACGATAGAATGTGAGCTTGTTCATGATCTGGTGGATAGCTGTGTCCCGGGAGACACAGTGACTATTACCGGAGTTGTCAAAGTCTCAAATGCTGAAGAAGGTATGGTATAATTCTTTTCTCATTTTGATTGTCCCTCAGTAATTTGTCAGCATCCATCTTTTCTCTTTTTAAGATATTTCTGAATCTCTACTAATTTAGGGAATTCTTTGTTTCCTACATAAAGTGAAACTTTTCCTCTAAAATAAAGGTTTATTTGTAGCTCACTGCGCCTTTCTTTTATGTTCTGCTTGAATCTTTGTTGGGAAAATGAAAATACCAATTATTTGTTATTTCATACTTTGAAATCTACAGGTTCTCGAAATAAGAATGACAAATGCATGTTCCTTTTGTACATTGAAGCAAATTCTGTTAGCAATAGCAAAGGACAGAAAACAAAGGCTTCCCAGGATGGGTGTAAGCATGGAACGTTGATGGAGTTCTCACTTAAAGACCTTTATGCCGTCCAGGAGATTCAAGCTGAAGAACACCTGTTTAAACTCATTGTCAAGTATGTGTGAAGTTATCTGAAGCATTATTACACGTGTGCATGTCAGGGGTGCTCTGGGCTTAGTAACAAAAAACTAATCAAAATGGTTGCAAACTACAGTTCACGGGCCAAATCTAGCTCACTGCCCATGAGCTAAGAATGGTTTTGACAATTTTTAGTAGCTGAAAAAAATCAAAAGAAGAATATTTCATGACACACGAAATTATATGAAATTCAAATTTCAGTGTTTATAAATAAACTTTTTTTGGAACACGGCCACACTCATTCGTTTATGTAGTGTCTGGCTGCTTTTGAGCTGCAATAGAAGAGTTGAGTACTTACAGCAGAGAATGAATGGCTCATAGATATTTACTATCTGGTCCTTTACAGAAAAGTTTGCTGATCTCTAGTTTAAACAAAATTTACTGTTTGGTTACTCAACAGAATAGTAATGGACTGTGAATCCCAAAGTCATTTCAGTTAGTTGTATGTATATATGTAGGAGGTGGGTTGTTTACTTTTCTTTTTTTTATTGAGGTAACATTGGGATATAACATATATAAAAGTTTCAGATATACAGCATTATTTTTTTTTTTTTTTAAAGATTTTATTTATTTAATTTTTTCCCCCCAAAGCCCCAGTAGATAGTTGTATGTCATAGCTGCACATCCTTCTAGTTGCTGTATGTGGGACTCGGCCTCAGGATGGACGGAGAAGTGGTGCCTCTATGTGCATCCGGGATCCGAACCCGGGCCACCAGCATTGCAGTGCGCGCACTTAACCACCAAGCCACAGGGCCGGCCCGAGATATACAGCATTATAATTTGATGTCTGTATATACTCCAAAGTGATCACCACCAAAAGGATTGTTTACTTTTTTTTTTTAATTTTTATTTTTTTTTTTCCTTTTTCTCCCCAAAGCCCCAGTATGTCATAGTTGCACATCCTTCTGGTTCCTGTATGTGGGACGCGGCCTCAGCATGGCCGGACAAGCGGTGCGTCGGTGCACGCCCGGGATCCGAACCCCGAGCTGGCAGTAGCAGAGCGCACGCACTTAACTGCTAAGCCACGGGGCCGGCCAGGATTGTTTACTTTTATTTATTTATTTATTTATTTTTGTGAGGAAGATCAGCCCTGAGCTAACATCCATGCTAATCCTCCTCTTTTTGCTGAGGAAGACCGGCTCTGAGCTAACATCTATTGCCAATCCTCCTCCTTTTTTTTGTTTCCCAAAAGCTCCAGTAGATAGTTGTATGTCGTAGTTGCACATCCTTCTAGGTTGCTGTATGTGGGACGCGGCCTCAGCATGGCTGGAGAAGCGGTGCGTCTGTGCGCGCCCGGGATCCGAACCCGGGCTGCCAGTAGTGGAGTGCGCGCACTCAACCACTAAGCCACGGGGCCGGCCCCAGGATTGTTTACTTTTAAAAAGCAGAAAAGATTCACATAGAAGTCACTTACATTCAATAAGTATTTCATTAATATTACTTTATTTCCATGTTATTGCCATGCAGTAGAGAAGAATCAAAGTAGAGGCATTTTTGCTTGAGTGGTTAAGAGCTTTTTGGGGCCTAAGTTAGAATCCTGCTTCAGCCACTTCCAGTGTGATCCGGGGCTCTTAATTTCTCCTTCATTTTTATTATGTTAAAATGGAAATAATAATACCTACTTCAGAAGGTTTTTCTGAAGATTAAATGAGATTTTATAAGGTATCTAACATAATTAATACAATGTGCTGTTATTTTGATACTTTTTGACAATTTGGGGGATAATTTTGAAGAAATGGGGGGAATGAGAGTGATTGAATAATAGATATACCTAAGAGAGGTAAAGAACTGAGGTTTTGAAATGCATTGTATTAGAAAAATTGATCTTGTCGTGCTTTCCCATTTATCTAGGCTCTGGGCTCTAGGAGAATTTGACACTTTTTCTTCCTGCCTATAATGTATTAATTAGCAGACTGAGGAAAGTAGAAAGTTCTTCAGGAGTTCTTTGTCCTTAAACCCTCGGGGACTTCCTGTGAATAGATAGCCATCCAAACCCACGTGGGAGGGGGTGCTCTGAGCTAGGGCGGGAGCATGATCTGGTGGTAAGTGATGGTATGGTGAGGTCTGTGAGCAGGGGCTAAGGAGCAACTTGGTTGAGGACCAAAATACCTCTTTGATTGGTTCCTCTGACTGGTTATAAATAAAAATGAACATTTGCAGAGGTCCTTCTTCTGCCATACTTATAGAAGATAAGTTAGTATGAAAAGTTAGTATGGGTTTTCTTCCCATGGTTTGCTTTTACCTTTTAGTTCTGAGTTTGTGATTTCAACCTGAGAACTACTAGAGTTTCTCATAGTCCTCCATTTGTTAATCTTGCAGGGATTGGCAAACTAGGCAGGCTGCTGTTTTTGTGAATAAAGTTTTATTAGAACACAGCCCCACTCATTCATTTACATATTGTTGATGTTGCTTTCACACAAGTTGAGTAGTTGTGAGCAAGACAGTAAAACTGAAAACACATACTTTCTGGCCCTTTAAGAAAAAGTTTGTTGATCCTCGCCAGATTAACAAGTGGAGGACCATGAAAGGAGAAGGAAGACGACAGTGGAAGGTTATATTTTAGTTTAAGTTCCTTCAGAAGCAATGATTTGAGTAAGCGTAGTTTATTTGGGAGATGATTCCCAGAAATAATGGTAGAGGAATGGCGAAGTGAGACAGAGAAGGGATGGCAGTCAGAGTATGATGCCTTAATGTATGGGTTACTACCAGCATCCGGGGCTTAAACCCTCTGAGGCCTCTGGGACTCTAGACTGTGTAGAACTAACCTCGGTGTTTTTCCATCTAAGGGTCTAAATTTGGGGCTGCTCCTGGGAATATTAGCCACCCCAGCACTTCCAGCCAGACCTGCCTGTTTGCTAATGATGCTTCTATGGCCATAAAGAGCCCTTTGCCAGACAGCTGCAGGTGCTTGGTAGGAAGCCAGCAGTGATTATGCAGAACATGCTGAACAATGAGTGCCAAGGGGGTATGGCAGGACATCAACTTATGTGTTTACGTAATTAAAAGGGATAATGATTCTTAGTCTACTCCTAGTTATATCTCTTCCACCTTGTCCATTTTTGTTTGTTCCTTGTTTATACAATTGATAAATATAAATATGCTTTATATCCATATAAGGTCTTATTTATTTTGATCCTTTGAATTGAAAAAATAAGATTTGATTTTATCTTAAAATATTATGTACTCAGTTCGTCTTTTAGTCTCCTTTCAGTGACTTGGCTGCACAGGTCTAAAGATGTCTATTCACGTAAAATACAATATAATTCTGTGTCCTAAAGTGGAAGACCATGATTATGATGCATTTTTTTATTTTTATTTTTTATAATTTTATTTATTTATTTTTTCCCCCCAAAGCCCCAGTAGATAGTTGTATTTCATAGCTGCACATCCTTCTAGTTGCTGTATGTGGGACGTGGCCTCAGCATGGCCGGAGAAGCGGTGCATCGGTGCATGCCCGGGATCCGAACCCCGGGCCGCCAGCAGCGGAGCGCGCACACTTAACCGCTAAGCCACGGGGCTGGCCCCTATGATGCATTTTTAAAGGCTAGTAATGTAAAAAGATCGACAGTATATCTGGTTACTTTAAAATGCTTTGCAAGTATCCTGTCTCCCTTAACACAGACACAATTTTTAAAGCATTCTTCCCTATATAGATTAACCAAGAATTTACTGTTAGAATAACATTTCTTGAGTTGTTTGAGGGGGTGCAAATTTTTTATTTTTATCTTTTTTTGATGCTAAATAAAGCAAGTTAAGCAATTTGTAAAGTATATCTTCTAATAGATAAATGAAGTGTAAGTTAGAATTTATAAGATGTATTCTGTTTTTCAGCTCGCTTTGCCCTGTCATATTTGGCCATGAAGTAAGTATTTTACTTCATTTTTGCTCAAAAATATATAAAACTTGCAAAGATAAAATATAAGGAGTTCACAAAAAATAGCTAATTTCTGTTGGCCAGTTATTGATATTTTAATATGAATTATTATTCTCCGTAAATGAATGATATGAAAGGCAAACTACAGCCCCTTGTAAGAAAAAGCTGCTTACCAATTAGAGTTAATAGGAATGGGCTTCTTTTGAGGTGACTGGACACTGTAAATGTTAAAGCAGAAGCTAACAAATATTTTTTATTTTTGTGGAATGGATTCATGCCTTGCAAGGTAGGTCTTCATTCAGCGACTTTTAAGACACTACTCTGATTTTATGTGCTTTCTAGTTTTTGCTTTTTAATCATTTACATGATAGAAGTTTATATTATTAGACTTACTTTTCTTAGAAAACAAGTATAGTTCAATCATGCTTTAAAAAAAAAACCCCAAACAAATACATGTTGAAAACATAGGAGGAGGAGCAGGAGCAGCCCTTTTGCTAGTCATTTTATGTTTTTTTCACTTCTGTTCTTTTTTTCTTCTTCTTTCACACTTGAGCTTGTTAAAGCAGGTTTGGCGTTAGCACTCTTTGGAGGAAGCCAGAAATATGCAGATGACAAAAACAGAATTCCAATTCGAGGAGACCCGCATGTCCTTGTTGTTGGAGATCCAGGCTTAGGAAAGAGTCAGATGCTACAGGTAGGAGATCAGTCATTTAGTATTTGACCTTTTGCTTATAAAATGCATAGATAATTCACAAGTGAATTTTCTCAAAGCATGTAGTGATTGTGTTTCAGAGGATATAGTTTGTCTGGTGGTATAAGTGAATTGGGGTTTGTGTGAGTAATATGTAACTTGTGTCTGACCAGCCTTTCAAATTGAGCCAGTCTTCTGTCACACAGGCCACACAGGCATGCTGTTGTATGGAGACATCAACTATTGTGAAACATTAGCCATTTCTTTAACCCCTTTTTTTGTATCTAGCATTGCTTTGCTAGTCTTTATTGTTGTGACCTTACCTATGAACAGAGTAGTTAAGACAGTAAAGCAGGGTCACCCATTCTCTCTTCACACAACTACATACATGCTGTACTGGGCTTTAAGAACAATCTGATAAAGGTAAGAGATCGGTCCATATACATTTCTACTGCTTCCGAGTCCAAAGCAAGGCAACTTCTGTGACCAGTCCGTTGTTAGTCCCCAAGAGGTTTCTGCCTGTGCCAATCAGAGCCTGGTAGTTCTCCCTTCTAGGGCTTATGATGGCCCTAGAAGGTGCTGCTTATTGGAATTTATTATGGTTTCCTTGGAGTGACACTGGTAAGCCAGCCATAATGTCCTTTATGAGAATGCCCATGTTCTCCCTCCATACCCTCTGCCCCCGACGTGGAAAAATGTGACCAGACCAGGGGCTTCCTGGCTCTTTGGTAAATTTTAGTCCTGTGGCCACTGAATCTTTGTCCAAGTGCTGGGAACCCTGCCTGCATGTCAGAATCACCTTTGGAGTTCTTTTGAAAATGCTGTGGCCTACCCTAGGCCAATTGAATTAAGAGTCTCTGGGTTAGGGTCCTAGTGTTTGTGTTTGTATAAACCTCCATGGGTGATTCTGATGTGCAGCCAGAATTGAGAGCTGGTTTGATCTAGTCATTGTACTATAAACTCATTGTCCTTCATGTTAGAGTGATTCTTTATTTCCTGTGGTTGAGTGTTAAACCGATCATCATTTAATTCCTAATCTGACATTTAATCCATGTTTCTGTATTTTGTTCCTAACTGGGCCTAATTTTTAGGAAAAAAATTCTGTTCTGAGCCCTTGCTATAAGACTGACAACTAAGGCACAGAGTACTCAGTTGTAGGTGAAACAAAGTTGCTGATAAAAATGAAAACAATTGTTGATAAAGATGATGAAAAATGAAAAATAAAAAATAGCAAGAATATGCATGCAAAAAGTGCATATGGGGATCTGGATTGTTACAGATTTCTTTTCTATCTTTTTTAGCATTGTGTATGTGTGTGACTTGAATTACAGTCATGCATTGCTTAGCGACAGGGATACATTCTGAGAAATGCATCATTGGGTGATTTCGTCGTTGGGTGAACATCATAAAGTGCACTTGCACAAACCTAGATGGTACAGCCTACTATAGACCTAGGCTTTATGGTACTACTTTTATAGGACCAACATCATATATGTGGTCCGTCGTTGACCAAAACATCATTATATGGTGCACGACTGTATTGAATTTCTATTTATTACTCATCACCTTTGGAATTGATCACAACAGTATTAAAGCTGCTTAATATTCTGAACTGAACATCAAAGATGTTACTCTCCAGTGCTTTCGTGGGTCACTAGAAATAGGTACCCTAAAAGGAAAAGCCAAATAAATAAGGTTACTAGGGGGCCGGCCCAGTGGCTTAGCGGTTAAGTGCGCGTGCTCCGCTACTGGCGGCCCGGGTTCGGATCCCAGGCACGCACCAACGCACCGCTTGTCCGGCCATGCTGAAGCCGTGTCCCACATACAGCAACTAGAAGGATGTGCAGCTGTGACATACAACTATCGACTGGGGCTTTGGAGGAAAAAAATAAAATAAATTAAAAAAAAAAAAATAAGGTTACTAGGGGGAGGAATATAAGTTCCTTGGAAACTAGAAAGTGGCTACAGCAAACCAAACAGCACAAGAAAACCTCAAACAACACTAATTAGAAATAAAATAGGAGGGCATTATTGACATGATAATAAAAATTATAGCTACCCCTTAATTTGGCATCTACTAAATTGCAAGCACCATAATTACATGATTTCACTCAGTCTGCATAACAAGATAGGTGGTATTCACATTTTACAGATGAGGAAATGGAGACTTTACGAGAGGTTGGCTTACATTACACAGGTTATTTCTAACTTTGGAGCCTGTTCTCTCTTTTTTTTAATGTATGTAATTTTTTTTATATTGTATGTAATATTTTTATATATCTGTTTTTCTGGGGAGAGGGTCCATAGATGTCATAAGATTCTCTAAGGGGTTGCTAGTAAAAAGAAAGCCTAAGAACCACTAAAACTCCTCACTGTGAGTTCAGTGCATTTATTAGGAGAAACAAAGTAACTCTGAGGTAGTTTGGCTGAGTCAATCAAATGAATAAATATGGAGAAGCTATAGATAGATAAGTAAAATTCTGATTCAGCTAATATGTATTGAGCTCCTATTATGTACCAGCTGTAGAGATTATATAGTACTGTTTCTCAATGTACAATAATATAGGAACACCTTGTGAGAATTGTTGTGTTTATTATCACATTATCCTTATGTGCTATGTGCAAATAGAAAACTTGGTGTAAACCTATGCTGATAGCTCTTTTTAATTATTAAACTGAAAAAATAGAAATTAAAACATTTAAAATTAATAACATTAATTTTAACGTAACAAAGAATATTATTTTGCTGAGCCTAAATCATCATTGGAATGATAATAGAGCACAGATTTATTTTATTTTATTTTATTTTTATTTTTTGTTTATTGCAGTAACATTGGTTTATAACATTGTATAAATTTCAGGTGTACATCATTATACTTCTATTTCTGCATAGATTACATCATGTTCAC